TTCTTTGGTTTTTTGTGTCCTCCAGTCATTGTTGCCTCCTGGACAAATATCTGCAGTTTTCTTGGCAAGGTTTTTCTGGAAATGGTTTGCCGTTGCCTGTTTCCCAGGACTAAGAGAAAATCACTGACCCAAGATTATCCAGCTTCATGACTAAGGACTAGAGCTCATGGTCTCCTGGTTTCTAGCTTGGTACCTTGACCACTATCCCAAACTGGCTCTCTGTAATAGCTGTTATGAATTACTAATTTATTTATTTATTATTTATTAATTTTATTTCTATACCGCCCTTCTCCCGAAGGACTCAGGGTGGTGTACAGCCCGATTAAAAGCACAAAGACAGACAAAATTTAAAATTATTAAAATTATTAAATGATAGGCTCAATTTAAAACCCCAAATTTAAAATCCCATTTTTAAAAACCCAATTAAAATCTTTACCTTGATAGCCCAACCTGGCGGAACAACAAGGTTTTGAGGGCACAGCGAAATACACGGAGATCAGAGATTTTACGAATTTCTGGGGGCAGCTCATTCCAAAGGGCAGGGGCTCCCACAGAGAAGGCCCTCCCCCTGGGTGTCGCCAGCCGACATAATTTGGCCGATGGCTCCCTGAGGAGACCCTCTCTGTGGGAGCGGACTGGCCAGTGGGAGGCTACTGGTGGCAGAAGACGGTCTCGAAGGTATCCAGGTCCAATGTCATGGAGTGCTTTAAAGGTGGTAACCAACACCTTGAATCGCACCCGGAAGAACACTGGGAGCCAGTGCAGCTCGCGCAGGAGGGGTGTCACGTGGGCACAACGAGTTGCGCCCATAACCACCCGCGCGGCCGCATTCTGGACCAGTTGGAGCCTCCGGGTGCTTTTCAAGGGGAGCCCCATGTAGAGAGCATTGCAGTAGTCCAGTCAGGAGATGACAAGGGCGTGAGTGACTGTGTGCAAGGCATTGCAATCCAGAAAGGGCTGCAACTGGCGGATCAGGCGAACCTGATAAAAAGCCCCCCTGGCCACGGCCGTCATGTGTTCTTCTAAAGACAGCCATGCGTCCAGGAAGACACCCAGATTGCGAGCCCTCTCTGTGGGGGGTAAAGACTCACCCCCAATAGTCAGCGATGGCACCAGCTGACTATATCGCGACGCCGGGAACCACAGCCACTCAGTCTTGGAGGGGTTGAGTCTGAGCCTATTTCTCCCCATCCAGACCCGCATGGCCTCCAGGCAGCGGGACATCACATCAAGGGCATCGTTGGGGTGGTCTGGGGTGGAGATGTACAGCTGAGTATCATCAGCGTACAGATGGACTCTCACCCCAAAACCACAGATGATCTCACCCAGCGGCTTCACATAAATGTTGAACAGAAGGGGTGAGAGGACCAACCCCTGCGGCACTCCCCATGCAAGAAGCCTCGAAGTCAACCTCTGCCCCCCTGTCAACACGAACTGCGAGCGGTCGGAGAGGAAGGAGGAGAACCACTGCAAAACGGTGCCCCCTATTCCTAACCCCCTCAACCGCTGCAGCATGATACCATGGTCGATGGTATCAAAAGCCACTGAGAGATCTAACAGGACCAGGACAGAGGAGTAACCCCTGTCCCAAGCCCTCCAGAGATCATCCACCAATGCGACCAATGCCGTTTCAATGCTGTACCCCTGCCTGAAGCCCGACTGGTACAGGTCCAGATAGATAGCTTCATCCAGATGCCCGGGCAGTTGTCGTGCCACCACAGTCTCAACAACCTTCACCACGAAATGAAGGTTGGAGACCGGACGGTAGTTGGCTAATTCAGCCGGGTCCAGGGAAGGCTTCTTGAGGAGGGGCCTCACTACCGCCTCTTTCAAGGCAGCGAGAAAGGCACCCTCACTCAGAGAAGCACTTATAATCCCCTGGAGCCAGCCTCGTGTAACCTCCCGGGAGGCCAGAACCAACCAGGAGGGACACGGGTCCAATAAACAAGTGGCGGCACTAATCCTACCCAGAACCCTGTCCACATCCTCGGGAGCCGCAGGATCAAACTCCTCCCAGATAGTGTTCTCAAGACCTACCCTCGTCTCCTCCCCCGGACTCACCCAGTTGGAGTCCAAGCCTTCCCAAATCCGAGCGACTTTATCATGCAGGAATTGCACAAAATCCTCAGCTCGACCCTACAAGGGATCTTCCCGCACTCCCCCCCCCCCCCGAAGAAGGGAATGGGTCACCCTAAACAGAGCGGCTGGGTGGTTCTCTGCAGATGCGATAAGAGCGGAAAAATAGTTAGATTTTGCTGCTTTTATCGCCACTAGGTAGGTCTTGATATAAGACCTCACCAGTGTCCGGTCGGAATCTGATTGACTAGTCCTCCAAATGCTCTCTAGGCGTCTTTTCCGACGCTTCATCTCTCTCAGCTCCTCGGAGAACCAAGGAGCCAATTGAGGTCGGCATCGGGTCAGAGGCCGCAAAGGCACGATACGGTCCAAAGCCCCAGTGGCCACACTCTCCCAGGCGGCCACCAGGTCTTCAGTCGAGTCGTGTGCCAGGGTCTCAGGAAACGGCCCAAGCTCCGTCAGGAACCTTTCAGGATCCATCAGGCGCCTGGGACGGAACCATTTAATCAGCTCCGTCACCCTGCGGCGGGGGGAAGCGGCAGGAAAGTCCAAGCGAAGAAGAGAATGATCTGTCCATGACAAGGGTTTAATGTCTAAATCCCCTCTACCAAGATCATTCAACCACTGACCAGAGACGAAAATCAAGTCTGCATTACTAATGTATGCAGAAGTTAAATTGAAGTACAGATATAAATAATAAAAATGTCCTTGAATCAAGATTGACTCCTAATCCTTCCATAGATATGTTCATGTAATTTTCTAAGTAACAGTCTGGAAATTGTTTGTCAATGCCATCTGCTGAATTTTTCTAAAGACTTTCCATTTTAGCTTACAACCTTGATACTTTCTGATAGTTTCCTATCCAAGTATTTAATAAAGACTGACCTTAAACAAACCCAGAAAAAGTTAGCTAACTGCTACCACTTGCTGAGACACGTAAATAATAATATCCATACATAAATGTATTGAGTTATATTTACGTGCATATTTATCAAGAAAACAGTAATCCTTCTAAACATAATGGGGTTTACAAATAACTTTTATAGATTGTATTTTAATATTTGAAGATTTTTTCATACTGTTCAGATATTGCATTCACTTCGCTAAACCACATGCTATAGGATAAATTTTGTTTTCTCTTTACTACATCATTTTCATAACATGTTTTTATCTAACCACCATTTGCTGTGGCATTGAATCAAGCAAATTATGATTGCTGTTAACCTCAAACTGTGGATTAAAGTGGTTTTGTGGTCTACAATTTGAAATTGTTACTAAGCGTAATTTGGTCAGTTAAGATATAAGTATAGTTGGAAGAAACTAAAATACAGGAGAATACTGGTGTTTGAGAAGAGAGAGGAAAGTGAGAATTTTTAAGTATTTTAGTAAACCATTCAGATTTGGCCTTAACCAAATAAATCTTTAGCCATGCTCTGTAAGATAAGCTAACATCAATATCAGTACATTCATAGAATAGGGTTTATTCTAGACTACCTAATAAATTCAGGACAGCCCAAATTTTCAGTTACAATGACCATTCTTTCTCCCATAAAGGATTATTAATCTATAGTAAATCAAATCAAATCTGTCTTGAACTGATATTGACTGTTGGTGATTTCATGTGCATATGTATGTAGCTTCCCCCTTCCCCCCAATAGTATAGAAATGCCTTGCCATTGCCTTCTTCCAGGATTTTTTTTTTTTTTTTAACTTTTCAGGATCACCTGCAGGACAAAGATTTCCTGGTGATCTTTCATCCAAGTACCAAATAGACCTGACTCTGTTTACCTTTCTAAGTGAAACCTTTGTAATATAAGTAAAATCACATGAAAAATAGTATAAGTTACAGATAGTTATGACAAAGCTAGAGGCAAAATTGGCTGGAATTTGCACTATTTCAGAATTGGATAGCTCTTTGTTTCTTTCTGCCACTTCACAAAACAAGCTTGAATCTACAGCATTTTTCTTTGTTCTTTGGCCCCAGTAAAATAGAGAGGGAAGAAAATACCACTGTTTGTTTATTTTGTTTAAATATTTCATGTACTTGCAAATTAATTATTAAAATATATTAATTTGTCTGCATATAGCCTTCATCATTTTTAAAAGAAGGAAACTTATTTTTGTTCTAGAGAATTGATGGTTGCCTTGGATAACTTTGCTGAATCTTTCATTTCAGATATTCAGTTGTAATCCTGATTGGTCATTGATATTCACGCCAATGTTTGAACCTTCTCTTTTCAAGTGGAAGTTCAGTGGAAGTTATTTTGCATGTTTGTTACAGTAGATTTTCATTATTCCTATTAAAATTCAGCTCACTTGCCACAAACAGAACTGCATCTATAGACTTGATGCTTTCAATCTTTAAAAAGTCAGATGGAGCAGAAACAGTGCTAAAATAAATGTATTACTGGCCTTTGTCCAACATAGGATTTTTAATAGTGTTGGTCCTTCATTGCAGTAGATGGAATATCTTTGAGTTATTCAAAAATACTTTGTTTTATAGCTCAAGTGTAAAGAAATTAAGTACCTACTTCTAATATCAGATTTCCTTCAAAACTGAATTGACAGAATAACCTTGAAATACGAATCTGCATTCTGTAGAAAGCAGCTGTGCATAAGAGAAATGGGCTTGTCTTATTCCATGGGGACATTTAAACATCCGAACTATAGCAAATAGACATTAATTATTTTGTTCTATAGGCTTCCCACAGAGAGAAAGCCTGTGGAATAAAAACATTGTTCATATAATATTGACCTAATTTTGTTCAAAATATTTTGCAAATGTCATTTGTATTACTTTAAACTGATAATGGCTCAATTAAAACTTGAAATAATATATAGTTTCATTTCAAAGGTAATATAATTCCAGTTAATCCTTCTCATAAGTAGTTTGTCACACAGAATTATTTTTCTCCTTAATTCAGCTTTATTGTGTTTGTGCTCTGACTGCAATCAAGCCAATGCCACATGCGAAACAGATGGTGCCTGTATGGTCTCAATAACAAATGTGAATGGAATGAAGCATCACACCCGGACATGTATTCCTGAAGTAAAGTTGATTCCTGCTGGAAAACCATTTTTCTGCCTTAGTTCAGAAGCTGTACGCAACACACATTGTTGCTACTTTGACTACTGTAACAAAATTGATCTTATGGTACCCAGCGGTAAGTACAATAGATTGAATATGAGAATGTTCTGTGAGTCTTTGTAGGCAATTAAAGCAAGCCTGATTATTTTTATGCTGTAGTGATATCAGCCTCAATATATCCTGGTAGTTATTTAGTTATTATTTATCTATTTATTCAATTTAAATAGCTTCCCATCTCAAATTCATGACTCTGGACAACTAACAGTATTAAAAGAATGCAAATTTAATTAAGAAGACAAAATAAAATTAGAAGCCATTGTAAAATCAAGCCATCAATCACAAGTCAACATAAGCAGTGTATGGTATCAACTCCAATTTCTGACCCCTAGATTTAGTGATAAAACTAAGTCTTCAAGGGCTTACAAAACAGCTGATAGGGTCCAGAGCCATTTTAATCTCTATAGGAACTATATTCCAACAATAGGTCAATGAAAAAGAAAAAGCTCCCTTCCTGGATACTCCCAAATGGCATTCATTATTTTATATAATTATTTAAAATTTCTACACTACTCATCTCACCCAAGTGACTTGGGTGGTTTACAGCATCTTAGATAAAAAGCATAGTAAAGCAGCTGATTTTTTTTTTAAGTATCAACAACAAAAACTAATTTAATTTTTTTTTCCCCATAAGAGTTTGTGTGCAATTTTCAGAAAAATGTTTTATTTTAATCCTTGAATTCTCTGGTAATATCTAACTGGCCTGAGATATTAGAACTGGATTTATGCCAATGAAGATTGAATTTTAAAAGCTGGAATTGTATTTAATGTTTAAGAGATTATTTGGAGAAGTATATTACTGCATCTGTTTATGGTATCATTTTGTACCAAAACTAATAAAAATTGGTGAAAGTAGAGCCATATGAAATAATTAGTTGAACTTCTAATTAAATGTCACTTTCCATCATATTATAAAATCACAGGCAGGTTTTTAAAAGCCCTATTCATTAGCTAGGTTGCAATATTAAATTCTATGGCAATGCTATCAGTCTCTCTTTATGTGTAAAAAGTAAGAAATATTGTTGGGGAAGGGTTTGACTCCCCCTTCTGGCAGTACATTTCATTACAGCATGCTTATTTTTAGCTAGAGGTTAGACTGCATGAATGATTTCAGAAAAATAATCTGCTTTTAAAATATATGGAAATCTTTAACAAAAATTACTAATATACTGTATGCTGAATAAAATATTTCACAAGCTTATTCTTTAATCAGTTAGGTAAGATGAAATGGAAAATTGAAAGCAATGCTTAATACTATTTAAATAATCTTTGGAAGTATAGTGGAATCTTTTGTCTCCTGTATTGAACACTCAAGCTGATCTAAGCTTAATTCTGTTTCCATAAACAATATTATCAAAAAGTTTCCACTGACAAATATTTTCCTACTAAAGGTACTCAATCTTGTTTTTATTATATGTGGGTATATCTTCATATATATTAAATAAAAGCAGTAAGAAGAATTAGTTTCAGTGATGAAATAATAGTGTTAATTTTCAACAGGAATATAGGACCATGAAAGAAGATAGGTCTATTTTCTTATTTTGAGACAATGTTCTGTTTATTGGCAATATGGGGAAATGATAGGGAGAAACTTTTAAATTACTAAAAACATTATTTCACCTTATTTGGTCTTTGCTGTTTGCAGTTACTTGTTTATATGTAATGCTAAACAGAAATTTCATGTTTTGAACATGAATCCTGATTTCCTGTTTTTGGTGCAACAGCAATGGGGGAATAACAGAAATATCTACTTCTACTTTTTTATTATTTTGATGTAATGACAAGCTTCCATTTTTAATCAGTAAAAATAAATGTTTCTTATTTCATTTTAGCTGAAGTACATGCATCCCTGAGACTCCAAGTCAGTGTCAATTCCTTTAAGTGTTTACCCTTACTTTTCAGATATATGCCTTCAAATCTATTAAATATAGACCTATTGATTTTTTTTTTAATCCTTAGATATTTACTGGGTTTGAATTTGAAGCTTTTCTTTCTTGTCTTCCCTCTCCAGGACATTGGAAGGATAATGAAACTTCTTCAATCTGGGGACCTGTGGAACTGGTGGCTGTCATTGCAGGACCTGTCTTTCTTGTGTTCATCATTATGATTATACTAGTTTTTGTCTTCCATCATCATTCACGTGGATACCACAATCGTCAGCGATTGGACATGGAGGATCCATCTTGTGAGATGTGTCTATCCAAGGACAAGACTCTGCAAGATCTAGTCTATGATTTGTCTACTTCTGGCTCTGGCTCAGGTATAATGTGTCTTTAATATAAAGATATTTAGCTTTATTATAAACTTCAATATAAATATATAAATAATCTGTACTGTTAACCTAAAAATACCCATGCCTCCTAGAGTCTTTTGCACAACTTCTACCTAAATGGCTATCCAATGTTTTATTTGTACTGGAGTGTTTGCCACAAACTGTAGCTGCAAGGTATTAAAAACTAAAATTACACTTCAGAATAAATTAATTCATTTGTCCCCAAAGCATGCAGTTCATGCTTCCTTTAAATAAGCCATACAGAACTACAGGTAACTGTATTTGGAATTAAAGAGATATAGTGTTATATTAGTACTGAGTCTACTGAAGTTAGTGATAAGAATGCTAACAAACAAGATGAAATATTAGTAATTAATAACTTATTCTTTTACAAAACTATTAAGTTTCAATAAATGAGAAAATACAAAAGAACAAAACATTAAGAAAGAAAATGGGAGAGTCAAGAAAAACCAAGAATACAGGAGGAAAAATATAAAAAAACACGGAAGAGAATAGCTTCTGGCTTTCTTTGATATAGCTATAAATATAAAGTATGGTAACCTTTTACTCTAAATTTCACCGTAATACACTTGTACTTCCATAATTATAAACAGTTATAATCATCAGATCCCAAAATAAAAAATTTATTCCTTTCCGTTTCAAGTAAAAAATCCTAAAGTGGTTTCCAAAGAGAAACAAAGCTAGATAAACTCTTTGATCAAAGCATTCAATTTTGCCATTTCCTTCGATTCCATTAATTTCACTGTCTATTCTTCCATTGTAAGAATTTGTAAACCCTTCCACCTCTGCAAGCAACAATTTTGCTATTATCTTATATAAAAACAAAGTTCTGTTTTCTTTCAGTTTGTCCATCAAACCTAAAAGGAAAATGTCTTATTTCAATTGTATATTTATTTTAAGAATTATCTGAAGTTAAGTACATAATCTGATCCCAGTTTTTCTTAGCTTTCTTATAAATCTATCAAAAATGATAAAAAGTACCTTCACTCTGATTGCATTTCCAACATAAATTTATATATCTTTGACAATTTATCCAGGATTAAATACCAATGATACATTATCTTCTAGAAATTATCTTTCAAATTATACTTTAATGTAATTTCTTTCCATGCATATATTTATTACCAGTATGTTTTATCAATAAGAATAAAATACAAAACAGAAAAAAACAAATATCCAACAGTAACAAGAACTTGTGTACAAAAAAAGAAAAAAGACCCAAACATCCAACATTAAACATAAAAAAAATATATCCTGGATTTTATTTTTCTTTTCAGCATCCAATCAATGTAATTTCAAACTTTGACTTCACCTATTTCCCCCACTGATCAAGCATTATATTGTATCAAAATTGTTTTGTCCATGTAATCATATAATCTTTAGTCAACTTCCATATAAACTTTTATTAAGTTTATACATCTTAGCAACAGCACGTTCATCATTAATCTAGTTCAAAGTCAAGTTTCTCATTTGCAAAATCATACTTTTTATCCAATTTAAACTTTTTTATCACTGAGCATAAGCACTGACAGGTATGAACTTCCTTTATCAATTCTTCTCTTGAATATAATTTAGATAAATCAACCAGTTTCATGTAACTATCATTTCTGTTATGAAAAAGGCTTCTTGAGGGACAACAATAGAGGAATTTTAGGGGAGTCATTCTTGGGTTATATCTATTTCAAACCCTCAATTTGGCATGCCGGATAAATGATTAGGGGAGGGGTGCAGTGACGAAGCAGTTAAGACACTGGGCTTGTCAACCAGAAAGCTGACAATTTGAGACCTAAGTACACATGATGGAATTATTCGCCCGAGCTCCTGCCCACCTTGCCGTTCGAAAGTATATAGACACGTAGTTAAAAGGTACCAATTTGGTGGGAAAGTAACGGTGTTCTGTGCACCTCTGCGTATAGTCATGGCAACCACATGACCACAGAAGCGTCTTCGGATAATGCTGGCTCTTAGGCTGTGAATTGGAGATGAGTACTGCTGCCTAGAATCAGTCACGACTGGCAGAGAAAATCTTTTATCATTTTAATAAATATTAATATCAGTATTGTCTGAAACAAAAATATCCTGAGTACAAATTCATCTCCAATACAGGAATATACCCAACAAGAATAGCTGTATTTGTCCCACCTCAATAAATCTTTTTTAATGTCATTCCACACTCTCCCATAGTTATTCTGAAACAGTATGCAATTCATATTAGTCAATGTAATCCCCAAATATTTAACATTCATCTTAATTTTAAAACCAGTTTTTCTCTTGATCTTGTACACTCATTTTTTTAATCAACATCTTTTTTTTTATTTACTACTGCCTTTCTTATACTTTTATCAGGGTTTTCGGGAATAGCTCTAAGTCTTAAAAATCTTTCTGTGTTTCAATAACATAATATTATCTAGTCTTTTATCCAGCTAAGCATCTCTAGGCCCCATTCTATTTTCCAGAAAGTCCATTTTGTCATTCACTTGTTTAACTTCACCAGTAATTTTATTCAACTTATTGTCCAGTTGTTTTTCCAGCATCTCAAATGTAGTTCCTATAGATTGTGTCACTTTTATTGTAAATTCTTCAAACATAGTTCTAAAGAATTCCAACTCACAGGTCCAAATGCTGTGATTTTTTTGAGCTAGTCAATAATAAACTGATTACTTAAGAGCCGTGGTGGTGCAGGTTAGAATGCAGTATTGCAGGCTAATTCTGTTCAGTTCTCACAGGCTCAAGATTGACTCAGCCTTCCATCCTTCTGAGGTGGGTAAAATGAGGACCCAGATTGTTGGGAGCAACATGCTGACTCTGTAAGCCACTTAGAGAGGGCTGTAAAGCACTGTGAAGTGGAATATCTTAGTGCTAGTGGTACTTACAAGTTGATCTGTGCACTCTAGTCAATAGCACCATCTAAAAATAAATATAAAGGGAAAGGTATCAGAAAACTTCTTAGATTGCTTGTAAGTCCATTTCAATTAAATAGAAAAACGAAGTGTTCTCATGAAAGCCCACCACAAATTGTCCAAGTTCCAATTCCACAGGCATAGATTCGAAACAGTAAGTTTTAATCAATTTTAAAATTCCCCATGTTTCTTTAAGAGAAAAGCAACCAGTAGTACTAATGTTCAGAGACTAATATCCAGGTCCAATTTTTAAATTACATTCAAAGAAAAACTGAGACGCTTCAAAACAAAATATTTCGCAATTAGTTGATGAATTGAGTAAAGAGGTAGGGCTTACATCAAGTTTGAAGGTGTGGCATACCTGAAAAAAAAAACAGACACTAAAACTGGCATACACACCCATTCATTTCTAAAATATCTTATAATCTATTTTTTAATCTAAGAGAGGTCCCAAAGGTACTTTTTCAAGAGGCAACTGGATTTTCTTGCTTTTCTTTGAAGATGGTTCACTTCTCATCCAAGAAGCATCTTCAGCTCTGACTGGATGGTAAGGAATGGAAGGATTTATACTCCTTGTAGGTCATTTGCATCCTTTTAGAGAGTTGTTGAGGCCACTTGGAGGTTTATCTGTGTCTTCAGGGTCACCTGAGTAGTGCGAATGTTCCCATTTTTGGGGGGGGGAAGAATGTCACATTGATATCTAGTATAATTATATCAGATGTGTGTGTACTTGAAGGATAATAAAATCAAGGTGAACTTACTGTTCTTGTCATTATCTTCTGCTTTATCTCAGTTTTCATCCTTCATTCTCTGCTTTCAGGCTTACCACTGTTTGTCCAGCGTACTGTGGCTCGAACAATTGTCCTCCAGGAAATCATTGGCAAAGGTCGCTTTGGGGAAGTGTGGCGTGGACGATGGCGTGGTGGTGATGTAGCTGTGAAAATTTTCTCATCACGGGAAGAGCGATCATGGTTTAGAGAAGCTGAAATCTATCAAACAGTCATGTTGCGCCATGAGAACATTCTGGGATTTATTGCTGCAGACAACAAAGGTATTTTTTGCTTTGATAAAATAAACAAACAAATACTTCAATTGCCTTTGAAGCCTAATATTAATGTATGATAGGTTCATACTTAAATCTAATTTTCCTTTTTTAATGTGTGATTTAGCATGTACTACAAAAGAGGTCACCTTGAAATTAAAACTTATCTCTTAGCATGATCTGTGAATATGCTTTGAGGTTTGTGGCTTCTTGGCTTATTCCAAGTTTTCCTCACCCATACTTACCAATCTGCAGAATATGGCAAAACAGTTTTAAAGCTAAAAAAGGCAGAAAATGCTATTATTACCTTTGCTTGTTCATATGCTTGATTCTGAACTATTTACAACAGTGTTTAAAACCACAACTAAATGTGATTTTGAATTCAGTTATTGTGTATTAATGATATAGCAATAGCTATTATATGCTGCTTTGAATTAAACCCAATTAATAGGCTGCATGATTATTTAGCAATAGTGATAAAGTTTGTATATCTGTTGGCTGTATTGATACAATATCATAAAATATTATAGATGCTAGGAATCTAGAAATAGTAACAGTTTTGGCAGGTAATCTTGGGGGAGAGGAGCTTGGATAGAAATAAAAATTTACATTTACTTAAGAAGTGGGAATGTAAACATTGAAGAAAAAAGGAACAATGTCAGATTTAAGAGCAAGAGGGAATACATATTGACAACAGGAAGAGGTGGCTGAGGGAACATGAAACACTGGAGAATTGTCAAAAATCAAAGGTGGTAATGAATTGGAAGTTCTAATGTTGAAGTTTACATACAGGAGAACAGCCAGGACAATTTTTTGTTATTACAATAGACTGAGATGATGTGGATTTCATAAACAGTAGGGATTACTTTATTACCCTAACCTAAAATATTCAAGAATGTTAGCCCTTAGGTATTTAAATAAATTGAATTCCAAACATAGATTTGAGCTAAACATCTATCATGGAGGAGGAAAGAAATCAACTTTGGACCTATATCCCTCTTAAATAGAGGCTCAGTCAGAAGTGTGTAAGAATTTGGAATGATGAATTGTTAATCTCTCAGTCTACTCTTACCATCACAGAGACATCTTTATCCAGGAAAAATACAACTGCTATAATGGCTTAGACTGCAGGTTGCAGTGAAAACCGGCACTTTGTTTCACTTCCTACTTTTCACATAAACTGCATGAACAGTTTTTAGCTTCTAGTAAGCAACTATTATAAGAAAAAGAAACTGGTAATTCAAGGTATGATTGACAATTTCCTGTCTAGAATATTATATTCTTCCTTGAGATGGCAACCAGTTCTTGAAGTTTAATTGATTACTTTCATAAAAGTACTTTTTTATCAGATCTACATTTGAAATCGTGAATATTCTTGAATGTGAGACATTCTAACAAAATATGTTTGATGATAGTTTGGTGCTAGATTAGCTCTTAAGATTCACTTCCTTTACTCTGTTCATTGCATTTCCATACCTGGAAACATATCCAGTCAAAAAACAGAAAACAAAATTGAGAAACTGATCTGATCTTGGGCAGTTCATGCAAATGTGTTAAGTTTATCTGGAAACACCTCTGAATATCTGCTTGGCTATCAGTTATTTACAATGTTCACCGTGTGATGAATTCAAGACTGAACAATATTAAAATAACTTGGCAATCTAATTACATTCAAGTGTATGCTGTGAGGCACAGTTAACATCTATAAAAGTATCCAGAAAAGCACATTATTCTGAAGCTCTTCAAGCTTCAATAATCTAATGCTGTATGAAATGACAACATTCCTGCACATTAGTTTTTAACTGCCTTCTAATGGAGCAAAGACTGACAAACCCAAGAATCAGCTTTTCTATTTCCATCCCCTAAGCATTATTATTCTCTGCTTTTACGATAAAACAAGCTATCTTTTCTGCCTTTTATAGGCACAAAAACAGTCCGCAATCACTATTCTGTGAAGAGAAGTATATAGGCCTGGATTAGTTAGCTGCATTGTACAATGACAAACTTGAACATAAAAACTGGGTACAGACCGACTTCCGGCTGACTTCGCGGCGGTATCAGATATGAGGAGCAGGTCTCTGTGCTCCCACGCCGACTTCTTGTTGGAGGCTCCAAAAGGAGCTAAAGCTACCCTGTAGGGGTGGTGAAGAAAAGAGGGGCGCCCTGTAGTTCAGGGAGAGTAGCAACTCTCCTTCTGGACTCTGGGCTTCTTCCCTGTCCCTCGATGAAGAGGCAGCCATTATGGCTGCCACGAAGCTGGGATAGCCAAGGCAACAAAGAAATGTGCAGGAGCGGTGCAGATTAACAGTGATTGGAGCTGGGGAAGAAGATTCCTTTTTATTTAGACCCTAACCTTAAAAAAAAAAAAAGGAAAATCCAGGAAAAGAGACTCTTAGAACTATTTTTTAAAGCAGCAAACTACCATAGAGAGAAAAATCCTAGACCCGAAAGAAAGGAACTAAGAGGAGAAAAGCGAAAAACCTTTTAAAACATAGAAAATCTGGATTTTTAAATTAGGTAGGTATTGTTTTGGAAAGTCATAACAACTCTGGACTATCTACTTGAATAATGGACTTTGTTCCCAAAAAATGAACTAAATTTGGATTAATTATATCTATAAGACTTGAAACAATGCTGAAACTTAAGCTGAGGGCGCCATCTACTGGTGAATAGAATATACCAGACCCCCACAAGTTTTAAAAAAAACTTTTTGATGAGAGAAATAACATCAATCTGGAGGATTGTGGTGACACCTACTGTTTTATAACTAGTTACTTTATGATTACTGGAGATCCTATTAAGAGAATAAGGAAGACTTTTAAGTAAAGCAAAGTGATTTTTGATTTGTGGAAGCTTCCTGGACTACTTAAATGGAATTGATTAACAATAGTCCTTGATGTAAAGGACTATGATTACTGAACTTTCTGAGGAGTAACATTGGACTGGAATATATTGCTTTTGGATTTGAGTAAGAGTGGGACTTATTAAATTAAGAGAAGATGCTTCATCAGGGGAAAGGAGTGAGATTTCAAGAGAAATGGAGTGGATGTTTCAAAGGAGTACTATGTTTCATTAGGAGTACTATGTTTCATTAGGAGTACTATGGAAAAGAATCATAGAGAGATAAAGTACCTAATGCAAGGCATACATGGGAAAATAGAAAATATACTACAACTGATGATGAACGAAGAGCAAGGAGTCCAGGAAAGAGAGGAGATAGCAGAAAGAATGGAAGAAAAGACAGAACGGACAAATCAGCAAACAAAACCAAAAGATGGGAAGGAGAAGATGATAAAGTTAATAATGACTATTGAAATAAACTAAGGGGAAAGCACTTTAAGAGATTTAAAAATGGAATCAGATAACTGGGAAGATACTTTTGAAAGGGAGATAGGGGTGTGGGTGGATATTCTGGAGCCCTGGCAGTTAAGGAGATGGGAGAAATATTCAGTCTGAATGGTGAAGATACAGATGTTGATAGAGATAAAGATCCAAGACAGGAATATGGGAGGCAAGCCAAAAAACGAATAAGAATTGAAGTATTAAAATGGGTAAGAGACAATGGATAGAAATTATTATAGATTATTTTCTTCTTTTTTTCTAATATAATGATGGCCTGATTATAAATTTATAGAGGAAGAAATAAGAATACACACCTTTGTATATTAGAATTAGTAATAGTGACGTGATATAGGGGGAATATTAGCAGATATAATTTTTCCCCTTCCTTTTTATATAATAGAAGTAACAATTTGATGGGAAAGACTAGAGGGTGAAAGATGGTATTACTATGTACGTTTATAACACTATTGGCATTAAAATGGAATATTGTAATATTGAATAATTACCTTAAAAAACCATGTATATAAATTCTAGGATTATATAAGTTTGATTAATACAACAGTTATTATGATTATCATTATTGATGTTTGTATCAAAATGAATTATACCCAGGGGCCACACTGTTCATGTATTGATATTGATGTATATTTAAAAATAAAAATTTATTTTTAAAAAACTGGTACAGACCATCTGAGATATTTTTTATAATGTTTATTAAAATTACATAAATATACACAAAATAAATACAAACTAAGGAAAAAGGGGTAAAGTGTAAAGAAAAGGGAAAAATATAAAAAGATATTCCCTTCATTAAAACAAGTGCAATTTCAATAACTTATCACCTTTTCTGTACTACAACAAAAATTATTCCCATATCTCATTGCTTATCTATAAACAAAATTTAAAGCCTTTTCATTTAGTCCTAATCAGCAAAATCCATTGTTATGAGAAAATAACAATGTATATATTTTAACATTAATCAAATAAACCAGTTTCATATTTTTCCTTTTAACACAATTCTTTTATCACTTTTTCTGAAAATATAACAAAAAATAGGTTGTTCCCATAATTTTATCTCTTATCTATAAATACATATTTAAAAATCAATTTGTCATTGAGTCCCGTTCAAGGAAAATCCATTAAGAGCTAAGTCAACTTTATATTCCTTCCCTTTTTAAAAAAAAAATCCAATCTCTATCATAATATTTTGATTATTGTGAGGATTAAACTGGAAAAGGAATAGTACAAACTTGCGTTAGTATAAATCCCACAATAAATAGCTACACAGATACAGTTAAAATATAACATATTTCTGAACTATGCTAAATAGCAGCAAGCAGTAATGAATCTGCTGTTGTTCAATGACATCTTTAAAAAAGACCATTGTTATTTTCTTGTTTCAGTATATTTTCCTTTTTTTTTGTATTGCCAACAGATAATGGCACTTGGACACAATTATGGTTGGTCTCTGATTACCATGAGCATGGCTCTCTGTTTGATTACCTCAACCGATATACTGTTACTATTGAAGGGATGATTAAATTGGCTCTGTCTGCTGCCAGTGGTTTGGCACATCTGCACATGGAAATTGTGGGGACTCAAGGTAAGGGGTACTAATGTATATTTGATAATGAACAGCTGGAAATTAGAAAGACAAACTTCTGTTATTATTCATAGACAGGAGTTGAAAAAGAGAATAAATTCTTTTGATATAAAAGAATTTAGCAACAATGTCAGCAACAATGATAATTTATTAAACTTGTGTTCTGCCCAACTCTCAATGACTCTGGATGATTCAATTTTTTAAAAAATGGCAATAAAATCAATAAAAAATGCCAAGCAAAACAGACTAGAACATGAGTGTCAAACTTGAGGTGTCAAGTTGTGACATTTTTTCCCTTTCATGGAGCTGGGGTGGGCGTGGCCTGCACATGGGCCCCCAGCTTGACACCACTGGACTAGGAGGAATGAAGGAAGGGATCTCATTCTCACTTGTTAAAAGCCTGGGTGAAGAGCCAGGTCTTCATGGCTCCTCAAAACAACAGCAGAATGGAGGCCAGCTGCCTCTCAGGGAAAAAGCATTCCAAAGAGTAGAGTTTGCTACAAAGAAGATACACTTCCAGGGTCCCAATTGGTCATATTGTTTAATGAAAGGAACCTGCATTATGCCAACCTTGCTGGATTGAATTAGCCTATAGGTTAATATTGAGAAGATTTAGAAATCTGATATTGTTTATTTAAGAGGAAGAGATGTATAGAATATATGGGCTAGAGATTCTGTTTAATGAACTGATGTTAAGCATAGTTTCTCTTATTCAAAGTAATGAGGAATTGTACTTTAAGATAATCAAGATTGATGTGCTAAGGAAGGATATAAATGAGAATAGATAATTCTTGTTCTTCATCCTACATTTTAAGTGGGGATTTAACAAGATAGAAATAATATATATGAACTGTACTATATTGTCTTAATCTAGGAGGAGTTGGCAGTAGAAGACCCATTCAACTTACATTGTTGAAGTCAGACAAAATATCTTGCTTTCTTTCCCTTCAGGATAAATGAAAATTTCTAGATCTCGGATGAACATTATCATGACTTAGCCAAGGTTTTTACATGGGACTCTTTTTTTGTTTTTTCTTGATCGAAGTGTATAAACAGAACTCATTCTCTCATCCTTTGTTAGGAAAACCTGGGATTGCACATCGTGACTTGAAATCCAAAAATATATTAGTGAAGAAGAATGGAACTTGTGCCATTGCAGACCTTGGTCTAGCTGTCCGCCATGATTCTGTTACTGATACAATTGATATTGCCCCTAATCAGAGAGTTGGAACAAAACGGTGAGTAATTATACCTGAGCTGACAGGGGTGGGTATATAAAGATACAGCTGGTAATTTTGAATGCTTCCTTTCTCTGTAGCCTGTTGGTTGCTTCATTTTTAGAATTGTATTTTCTTAGCCATTAGCTGTTAACTCTAATTAGTTTTTTCCACGTGCATCATTAGAATTGGGTATTTGTGAATCAATTAGAGCATTAAATTACTTCTGAAATTTAAAGAGTTTCCCAATAAGATACTTTACAGCATAAAATATTCTTTAACAAAATCATGTGCATTAGAAACGTAATTAACATTTCTATAAACCTGAGCAGTTCATTAAATGGTGAATTGTAGAAGGAGAATAATAATCTTTAATGATAGCTGAACACATATTAATTAGGAAACTGTCTTTTATCTATATGAACTATATACTTAAAATTTGCATTGTGTTTTAATATGTTCTTCTTTCAAATCAGACAAATCACTTGACAAACGAGGAAGTTTTGTAGAATGATTGCTTGTGTTTCTATTCCTGCTTCACCTTTCCTGCCAAGAAAACCTTTACAGTGCTGCTATCTACCAAGACAAAATTATCATTCTTTTTAGCTTGATTTTGTTGATAAACATTTTAAAAATCTGTTAACAGAAAGTCAAATAATATAAAACATTCTAAAATATTATAGGCTTTTCTCAAAGTTGTTGAATGAATTTTTGTTCTTATTCGTAATAGTAGACAATAGATGCATGATTTTCTGTATAAGTGGCATATGTGTCTCAAATAGTTGCCATTAATCTGATTGTTCTTTTGCTACAGTTACATGGCCCCTGAGGTTCTTGATGAAACAATAAACATGAAGCATTTTGATTCATTTAAGTGTGCAGATATCTATGCCCTTGGCCTGGTTTACTGGGAAATTGCGCGCAGGTGCAACTCAGGAGGTAATAGATCTCTCTCTCTCCCTCCCTCCCTCCCTCCCTCTCTGTCTCCCCCTCCCTCCCATAAAAGTTAAAGAGTTTTCTATTGGCTTCAGATTTTCCAATTCAATACATTTTAATGCAAAGCAAATAAAGTTGCTGACTCAAAATCTGACTTTTTTTCCACTCATTTAGCATTGTAGTAGGACTTTTCTTTAATATGTTCAAATGATAGTCATTGGTTCAGACCACAAAGCTACAGTTCAGGATTAACATTAAATGGTATTTTCTTGTTCTCTTTGGTATATTAATTAACAGAGGTGGTATGTCATAAAGTATTAAAAAAAAACATTCCTCCTTAATCTGAATGACTGCAGAATGTATTCCAGAGTAATTTAATTTTTTTTACTATATTTTTATTAACCAGTTATGAGGATTATAATTCATTTTTGTCATCAATTGAAAAACAATATTGTTTATTAAATGGAAATAAGCAGGAAGCAGAAAATAGATCATAGTTACAGTCTACGCTTATTAAAAGTATTATTTAAATTTACATAAATGGAAAAAAGGAAGGACAAAAGATAAGTAAGAAACATAAATTTTCCACTTCTGGAAAGTCTGCTAAAAGTGCATTGTATCTGCATATTACTGTTTCAACATCTCAATAAAACTACATATGGCAAAGTTTTTAAATGTCTATGCATGTATTGGTCAGATCTCATTAAAATAAGTTAAATTTAAATTTATAACATGAAATAGTATAATTGAAATGCTTACACAGACTGTAGATACTTAAATGAATATGCTAATTGGAATTATACTCATTTGTATAAGAAAAACTCACATTTAATGCTATATAGCAAAAAAAGAACACATTCAAAGTTAAATTAGACAAAAAGAAGATCCATGACAAAGAAGACAAGCCTTATACAGTTTAAAAAATGAATTGGATGTAATGAAGAAAGATTTTGCAGTCCGACAGCTTCTAAATCAAATAAATTGAACTGAATTATGCAACAAAAGACAACTTAAATATAATGAATCAAAAAGTACTCTTTTCCATGGTTGAGTTTTTAAATTGCCACACTTTAAAATAAGATAAAATAATTATTCTGCCACAGACTAATAACACAACTCTTTAATCTCAGGGATAGAACTAATAACTTTGATTAAAAAGAAAGGATAAAAATATAATTGAAATGTTAAAATGCTAACTCAGATAACAGTGTTATTAGTACTCTGTAAAAAAGTATTGAAATCAGAATTTTGGAATAACAAAGAAAGTAGTTGTAGGAATAATCTTGCTAGAGCAAGTTCCTGTTTTTAAAAACTGTCTTTTTATATTATACAAATTAGGTATTTTTAAAAAACATCCGTAGATAAGAAATAGTAAATTTAAGAGCATTTTTAAAAATCTTGTTTGTTTACTTTTATGCCATTCCAATCACCAAAGTAATTCTAAGTGGTGTATATAATAAAATAGGCAATTAATCTCTCATTGAAGATTTTTGTGCAAGATACAACTGTGTAGTAGTTGTTAAGTATATGTCTTCTTTATTCAGGAAAATCACTGGTTCCCAAATACAGAAGGTGAAATGAACATAAACATGTTTTGAATTTGTATTTAAAAGAAGGGAAAGATTTTGGTCATTGTTATCATGATGTGTAATATTGGAAAATTGTTTGGAAAAAGTGGTGAAATAGTTTGGAAAAAACTGTGGTAAAATCTAAAATGATCTTAATAATTTCATTGCAAGAAATCTAAGAAAAATAGTTTCATATGGATTGGATAGTATATTCTGTATATTGGGCAAGCCCTTAACTACCAAAACTGAAAGATTAATATATTACTTCTAGGTTTAACTTGGCCATTATTTATAATCTCCTTAGGAGAAAAAATATTTGTAATGCACTGTTAGAGTTAAGAATACAATAGTGGATAATAATTTTCTTGTCTTTTCTAGGATCATCAAGAGTATTTTTCATGTAATATTTGCTGAATATATATAACTCCTTTTTTCTTATTTTCTATATTGTTTTCTATTTTGGTAATAAAAATATTAAAGAAGCAGGCTACAGACTTTTCCTGCGCACATATTGTTGTTATATAATTATCATTTATTATTATTGAAAACCAATTTGCACACAATATCAGATATCAGCTTCACTGCTAAGTTCCATATATGATACTTCCTGCTCCTTTTGCAGGCTGTTCATCCTATATCATTAATGCTATTATGCCTATGTAAAGATACTTTCATAAGAAATAATAGCTTGTTTCTCTTTTTTCCTTTTAGGTATTCATGAAGAATATCAGCTCCCATACTATGACCTTGTGCCCTCTGACCCGTCCATTGAAGAAATGCGAAAAGTGGTATGTGAACAGAAACTACGACCGAACATTCCCAACTGGTGGCAGAGTTATGAGGTACAGTTGATCTTGAAAACTAAAAAGCATGCCATAAAGCATAATTCTTAATATAGTATTTGTCATATTAGCTAGACGGGCAAGGAAAGCTTCAGCAAACTGTTGGCATGAAATCTTGGTAGCAATTGGATAAAGAACCCCAGTTATCAATTTTATTCTGGCTTATTGAATAAGGTCTGTGCAATCTATAGGTTAATACACACATACAAAAAAGAATTTTCTACGAAATATATTAGAATTCTGGCTTTGATTGTAATTCTAGGCAGTCAGTTAAAAATGGACTAGGTCAGTGATGGCTAACCTTTTACGTCACCGCGTGCCAGCCTGCGTGCCGGAAATGGCACGCAAAACCATCCCACCTGGACCATGTGGCCCCGCTGCCCTTGGCGTGTGCAGGAGTGCCGATACCTGGAAAAGCAGCAGTCCATCGCACATGCACAAGCCAGCTCCTGAATGTCCAGTTTCTGGCATGGACATGCGCCAGACGAACAGCTGGCCATCGCGCTTGTGCGCGATGTGAACCCGGACGTTCAGGTGCCAGCTTGCGCATGCATGACGGAACACCGCTCTTCCGGGTTTTGCCGCGTGATGGTGCGTGTGTGTGCACAGGAATGCGGAAGAGGAGTCAGTGAGTCCTCACATTCCTCACAGGATGGTCCTGGGTGCCACTTCTGGCACACGTTCCATAGGTTTACCAACACGGGACTAGGTTATACATTGCACTAAGCTAAGATTTGCATAATTGTGGCACTTTGAATAATACACATTAGATTCACACATCACACATTTCAAGCCAAACCAAGCAGGACCACATTATAGCCAGACATAGTATTTAAACACAACCATTTTTTCAAATTTTCTTTACTTGTTTGAAGAAAGATAAAAATGAATAGTTTATATGCAAAAGACAAAACTCAAGTGGAGATTTCAGCTTCAAAGTATTAAAAAGTTGGATTGGCTCTGCCTTGGTTTTCATATAATACAAAGCAAAAAAAACTCCAAATTATAGCATAGTAATTATCTAGTATGGAATATTTAACAAACCATAATTTTTAAAAATAACTTGAGTTCTGTGGAAATGCAGTTAGTAGCAAAGAATTGTCTTTTTCATGATTGTGAAAGACAAATCTTTGCTTCTTTTAGGAGGCAATTGGCAAAAACTGAATTTTATTTTGACTAGATTTTTTAAAAAATCCTAAAAGAAAATATGATGCCACTGCAGTTTTAAATGCATACTAATAAAAAAGAATAAGCACAAAGCAGCATCATAAGCATAAAAGCAGCCTATTCTTCATGGATTTTAAAAAAATGGATTCGATCTGTTGAAAAGAGATTTCTCCTGATGCCATTCTCCCCATGTTCCCAGGCTTTGCGAATTATGGGAAAAATGATGCGAGAGTGCTGGTATGCCAATGGAGCAGCACGGCTAACAGCTTTACGCATCAAGAAAACTCTTTCTCAACTCAGTATCCAGGAAGATGTGAAAATTTAGACTGCAAGCACCATCTTGAGGAAAGTGCACAAAAAGCTGCCATGCGAGAATTGATGTGGTGAAGAAGGCCTACCTCGTCTTTGTATTCAGCCTGCTGCTATCAACTGAACAGCTTGGCCTGCAGGTGGCCAGGTGAGGAGGATCGACATTAGAGACTTCACTCATTTCCTCATTCAAGAGTGAAACGCATCTTTTTTGAATTTCCTCTCCAGAGCGTTCTGAGGGGCTTGTATAGGAGAATGTCAGTCACAATATAACCTTGTTTCTCTTATGGAAATCCCTGTAAATTTGAGTTATGTGCTGATTAGGGAAAGCCTTATGGCTTGGGAGAAGATGATACTTTCTTGTGGATTAAAAAGTGTGGCAAGGGGAAGGTTTTGAGGACTGACATGTACACACAGGCACCTTGTGTGCACTTTGTCTGGCCAGATAGTGGCCCTTTTCTAGCTCAGTAGATCCTAAGCCAGAACTACAGCGTGTGCATGTGCAAAGGTGTGCATCCCTTTGCCCTGTAGGTGTGTATTGTGTCTGCTTGTGCTCCTGTGCATGTTGAAAATGTAGAGTGTCCTTTTGTGAAGTGCAGGTGCTAATTCCCTATTTCTCACTAGCTGATAATGAGCTGTCTTCTCACTAGAAAGGAGTAGGGTTCTGCCCTGGTAAATAGTAGACTTTTGGGGGGCACCATACAAATGGTTCCACTGCCATTCTACCCCTCTCTTTTTTTAAAGCAGGGAAAATACTTTGATTGTGCGTGTTTGTTTTTTAGTTTAAAATTCTCCCATAATGGGTAGCAATGATTACCTAGCAAGCAGAAAGAATTGTGGAAGAATTGGGTATCTGCTGAAATTGGTGCTTTCCTAGTTAAAGAAAGACAAACAAAATTGACCATATAGGATCATTGCCCTTCCATTTCTCAAGGTGCCTTTGGCAGAACAACTCTGGTGTTTTACATTTCTCTGCCGAATGAAATGGCTATGGAGAAATATGCACTCAGAGACTTCCTGGCAACATTTGTCCTTTCAAGGAACAATGACTGCAAAATAAAGCTGATGTGTGTGTGTGCGTGTGTGTGTATGTGTGTGTGTACGTACGTTTATGTGTATATAGATAGATAAATATAATATGATCTCCCTTATTCTGGAAGCTACTTTGTGTCACTTGGGCGTGGGGTGGGGTGGGGTGGGGTAGGGAAGGATTGGGAATGGATTAACTGCATGCATTTTGTTTGAATTAAATGATCAGGGCATAGTAGAACTGATTAGGCTGTCATATCTTTTTGTGGAGGGGGGGCGGGGGGGGGACAGCCTGAGATTGTATTGTGATGCAAATAATGCATTAGAAACTCCATTATGTGTAGGTTGGGTGTTTGAGAGAAACTCCTGAAGCCATAACTTTTAACTGGAGTGGTTTGATTAATTTTTTTAATTCTTATTTTAATGGAGGGGCTGGATTTTAACTTTTTTTACTATTGTTTATAAAATAGATAATTACCTCTCATTTGTTTATAAAGAAATCACTGCAAAAAAAGAAAAAAACTGAGAAATGCACACAGCTCAATTTTACACTGGAACTGTTTCTATATAAACCATGAGCCCTTGACTACTAAGAGGAGGAGTTATCCCTTCTTGGACAGGGGATTTTATAAGAATATAAAGCATTCTGTATTTGTTGTTTGTCAGAATAGGCATATGTTCGTCTTTCCTTTTCTCTCCCTTAACCTTTATTGTGTCTTTGATTGTATTATATACATTGCAGAGTTGCATTGTGTATTGGAGTCAATTTGACATGTTCATTTAGGTCTGTAACAAGTTGTAGCTTCCTTTAATGCTGTGTTTTGAAAATCTCAGGCGCTTTTGTTTGTAGGCATTTGTGGGATTTGTGCTTCTGATTGTAAAACTTGCCTTTTTCTATTATTTTGGTCTGATCATTTCTGAGCCAGAGACCACCACAAATCTCTAGCAAAGGGACACCATTTACTAAAATCTTCCTTGCATTTCTGATCTAAAGTAAAAGGCACCTTGAAATTTATGTTAATCATATATTTTCATAAATAAGAAATGGCATCTATGATTGCTGGAGTTGGAATTGAGAACAATGTATGACGAAGATTTACACTTGGAGCTCAGGTAATGGAAATGTTCATGTGTATAATTTACTGTCAAATCCACCTCCAATTAAAAAGAGCCATTTGATTTTCATAGATAAGTTGAAGATTTTAAGTGATAGACATGAAATTAACTTCAGGCTAAAAAGTGTGTACTTCCCTTAAACAATTTTGTTTCAAAGTATTCCTTAGCGATAAATAATTTTGCCAAAATGTGTGTACTATTTGTATTGCATACTTCTTGATATTTTACTCCTAGATCTACGGCTTAGAGGCAGATAAACCTGTTTTGTGTATTCAATTTAAATTGGAGTAGAATTCCCCCAATTATGCCTTATGGTAATTTGCTACAAATATTACATCAGTAGCTTCCTTCTCAGAATAAAGCAGTTCTAGTTCTGCATGAAAGGCTATTTATTTAATAGAGCTTGTAATCTGCTCAAATCCCATAAGAAACTGGATTGTACAACATCAAAACAAAAAATCCCAACCTATAACAATAGTCAAATTCAAATACTTATCAATATCAAAAAATAACTAGAGAGAGCAGAAATAAAAAGATAAGACAGTCATCCAAGATCAAAAGTGCACTGAAATAAAATAGCTTTAATCTGTTTACATTAGGTGGGGACTGCATGTACTTTTGCAGGGAGAATATTCCCCGAGTTGGAGGATATTGTAAACTTCACAAAGGGAGTCAATTTTCACAGATCCTTTCTTGATGACTAAACCAGTGAACGCTGTTATAATATTGCCTGTATGTGTTCCACCATGTGCCATTTAGGGCTCTGTTGGCTAATGGCCAGCACTTTGAATTGGCCCAGAAGTTTACCACCTACCTATGCAGGATCTTAACATAGGTGTAATTCTGGCTAGATGGGGCTGTCTTGCCAATAATCTTACTGCCACATTTTGTATCAGGTACAGCTTCCAGATTGACTTCAAAGGCAGCTCATTGTAATACACATTGCAGTAGTCAAGTAGTAGTCAAAGTCTGAGTTATTGAAGACCAGGCATCCTGTTCTATATAGGATTGTAAATAGTTCAAAGCCACCCGACCACAGTTTCCACCAGTTATTTAGGTAGGAATTGTGAATCCATGCAGATCCCAAATTGACAACCACATTCTTCAGGGGGAGATAATGCAGTCCAGAGTGGTCTACTGACCATTATCAACCCTGCCTTGCAGAATTTGATGTTAGCTTGCTCCATCCAAACCTCATCGATGCTGGTTCAAAATGTCCGTAGGATTGTGAAGTATAATTGAGCATTGTTTTAGAGTTCATCTGTGGACACAGAGGTGGTTCTGCAGTCCCAGTCTGGAAGTACAGAGTCTAGCACATAATGGGAGCAATGGAAGTCCATTGTTGTAGTAAGTGTGGGTGTTATTCTCTGCTGCTGCCCAGGGTTTTTTTTTTTTCCCAGTTTTTGATGGCGCCTTATTTTTAAAGCTGGTGAAGACTTCATAGCACAGGACTTGCCCGCATGTTCTGTCATTAATTGTGGCTTCTAGTTCCCATGGTTGGGTGTCACAGTGGCATAGGGTTTCATTCACATGTAGAGCTTGCATGGTCAACCTTGAAGTCTCTTCTCAAGCTCTAGTAGAGCAGCTGGCAAGGCATACAGCAGTCATCCATGCTGAGGACATATCCCACCCATCTCCAACCTCTCATAATTAGGGACTCAGTGCTGGTGGAATGAATGCCAAGGGTTGATTGGAGAATGAACATGTGAAATTTCTCCAGTTTGATGTATCTTCGATGCAGAGTCCAGGACTCACATTTATATAAGAGGGACAGGCTAACCACAGCTCTCTAGACTTTTTGCTTCATGGAGATATGGATGCTGTATTGATTGAGCACTTTAGTACACAGCTGTCCCAGTGCTTGACTATCCATGCTGATCCTGGAGTCGATTTCTTTCTCCAAAAAAAACATCACTTAAGATGACGCTTCCAAAGTATTTGAAGCTATTTATCAGTTTAGCTTGAGCCAGTAAATTGCCTGTTCCACCAGTTTCATATAGATTTTAAACAACATGGAGCCCTGAGGGATCCCACACTAAAGCTTCATGGATTTAAGTGCATCTCCCACAAATCATTGACTGACCACACTCTCAGGTAGGAGCAGAACTACTGTAAAATGGTGCCTCAAACTCCCTGTAAGAAGGACACCATGGTATTCTTTATGGCATTTGTATACTGCTTAGTTCTGATAAAACCAAGAGGGGCATTGTCCCCTCACCCCATCTGCGTCTGAAGGAAATTTATCTATCAGGAAAGCCAGTGCCATTTTTGTCGCATAACCAGGTCTGGATCCTGACTGAACAAGGTCCAGATAATCTGCTTCCTCTAGGATCTTCTCTAGCTAATTATCTACTATTTTGCAACACCCGTTCCTAAGAAGGGTAGACTACATATAGGGCAAACTTTTATCAAGCACAGCTGAACCCAGGTTTTTCTTTTTCAGTTACTCCCTTCAAAGCAGGCAGCATCAGCTTCTCTCTCAAAGAATCATAAATAACCTCCCAGATCCGGCTGATCACACCCTAGCCAGCCACCCAAAGGAATACAACATAATGGTAGGTGATCAGACTACAGAGGATTCTGTCTGCTTCCTTGGATTCCACCAGCTCAAAATAATCCAGATCATATCTGGTGGCATCCCAGGCCCCACAATAGGCCCTGCCTTCCTGGCATCCAATCCAGAGAGGACAAGAACCATTTTATTCATAAAGAAGCCCTCAAATTAATCCAGCAAAACTGGACTCTTGAGATTTATTTATTTATTTATTTTGCATTATCATGACAAAGTAAAAATGACCAAAGAATTGCTTTTCCTAAATAGAAAACAGGAACATTTGCCTGATTTCAGACTGTAGGCATATTCAAAAAAGGGCCCTCAAATGGCACCATTTTAATAAAGCAGAGTTGGGTGGTGTTTTAAGACATTTCTTTGATGTGTCTATATCAATCCAGTGACGTGATAGTTAGCTACTGCAGTTGGCATCTTTGACTAAGAGCAGCAAATATTCTGTTTAATGTGATAACAATAGCATTAATGTTTCTAACCATTCCTTCATAGTTACTTAAAAGTAAAACTAGTAGGAGATTCCATTGCAAATTAAACCAGTAACTGTCATGGTACTTTGAGGTTTTTTTCATGAAATTTAATCCAGTGGCCAAATAACCCAGCTATGGGGTTACAAATAGCAGGATAGAATCCCCATGTTAAATTCCATTTGGGGAACATCAGCCAACTTTATCAAAACAAACACTAAAGAGTCTTGATATGAAATTTCCCAAGAGAAAATTGCATTTGCAATGCCCTTAATCTTTTCCAAAATTTATATGGTATGACTTACAGTTGGGGGTCACACCGGCTTCAGAATAGATCATTCTTGGTACTATTGTTTCTTCTGTCTTTCTTGTCCCAAAAAATTATTCCTTCTTGACCTTTATATTTGTTTCAGGTTTTATATGTTTTACTAGAGAAAGACTGTAAAATAGCCACTTAGACACTTTATCTCCTCAGTATGCAAATGTAAATAGATGTAATATAGGAAAGAAATCTTTTGTTTTAATATAAGAATGAGGCTGTCAAATTTTTGGTTGTACATTATTAAAAGTTTGTTTTTATTCACATAAACTCTTACGACTTTTTATGTTTCAGTTCTGACTTATCTATACTGTATTTTACATGCTTGAATTTTAATATTGGCTAAGAGAATGGAAAGAAAAATACATAAAGATAACTCAAAGATATAACTGAGCTACATGAAGCTATGTTTCTAATAATTGTATAAAAGATTACTATAGGAAAAAATTACGTTGTCGATACTATTTGGAACTGTGCTATGAGAATAAAGCAAATGTTAGGGCTTGAATTGGATCAGTTTCAGAATACAGGTAATCCTCATTTTATGACCACAATTGGGGCAAAAATTTTCCTTGCTAAGCAAAGCAAATGAATCCGGCCAGATTCTATGACTTTTTTGCCACGATTGTTAAACAGATCACTGCAATTGTTGAGTGAATCGTGATCATTAAACGAATTGGCT